TTGATAGTACTTTCTAACCTTTTGCGTTAACAGGTTTTATATAAAGTCGAGAATCATTTCATATTTAGGCATCATATTATAAACAAAATTCTCATTGGTTTTATAAATACATATTATGTTCTGTTTCAAGTTTAGTCATACTGATCTTACTAGTTTATTGCGATGTAGATTATAAGAGTTAGTGTATTAATGTATTATTGTTTTACAACTAGGTTATTATATGCTTCTTATTTAATCATTTAAATACTACGCGTAGTATCATAGTCATGATTTGATGAGTTCTTGTGAAATGGAAATTTGCAATTTGGTAATTCGATACTTGATTAGTCAACAAGACTGACAATTATGACTCGTTTATCATTATATATTTTCATGAAATTATGAAAATATTACAAAGTAGTTTGATTTATATAATGAAAGAAAACAGTAATGACTAATTAATAAGGTAATATTGATTAGTTCAATCGATCATATATTCATATGTACACATTAAGACATAGCATCTAACCATCTCATAGTTAAATATTCATATGTATTAGTACAAATTTATTTATACATCTTATTAATATACTCGTAACGTTTTTATAATTTTTACGTGTATGAAAATAAAGATATACTAGTAGATGTTTTAATACGTGTCTTGAGAACTGATCCCGATCAAATGGGGCAAAAAAATACTTAGGAATTGAGGGAATAATATTTTTCTAGATGAATATAAAACACACAAACACACACGGATCACCACTCTCAACCATTGATTAAAAAATCAATGGTTAGATTCTTTTTCCCACAACACACACGGATCACCAATCTCAACCATAGATTAAAAAATCAATGGTTAGAGTTACATGAAATACCTTTTAAAAAATCAATGGTTAGATTAAAAAATCAATGGTTAATTAATTAATTTAAATAAAGGCGGTCTCATAACACGCAGTATAAAGATTAGGGATGGCAGTGGGTCGGGTTAAATGGGAGACCCGCCCCATCCCCGCCCAAGTGGGGCGGGGATGAAGGAGGTTTGGCGGGTGATGGGGCGGGGATGGGTATAAAATGCGTACCCGCCATGGGTGATGGGGCGGGTATGGATTTTAGAGTAGACCCGCCCCATATCCGCTCCGTACCCATCTTATACCGGCACCATATTTCTTTTAGAAAAATTTAGAATTTATAAAACTTGAAACCCTCTAAGACCCAATAAGCTTGAATAATGAAAGTCCTAATTTTCTTAACCTAATTTGATATAATTGTCAATAATTTGATACAATAGAGCATCATGGCAATGGGTTTGGGATGATTTTGGGGCGGGTATGAGGTGGGTGATGGGGCGAAGATGGATCTTATCTTGTACCTGGTGGGGCGGGTATGGATGTGGATATTGTACCCACCACGGGTGGTGGGGCGGGAATGGGTATAAGATTTTTAGGCGGATATGGATATGGAGGTACCATCATCCGCATCCGACCCGCCCCATTGCCATCCCTAATAAAGATGATAATTTAAGGTGTTTTTAGCCATCACTCAAACTTGTGTTTTACTTATATCATCAATTTCTTTCTCGAATCCTATGTCGAAACTAAGCTAAGATATTAACAATCAAAATAGTGAAGCATGAAGCATCAACGACATCACTTCTCACACATCCACTTCCTAGTTTGCCTATACTTTGATCAAGCAAAGGTCCGTTTCTATCCATTTCCTTGTCAATATTTTTTTTTAATAATAATCATATAAATATATATAATGATGTTAAAAGTTATAGTGGAAAGCAGAAGAATCTAAGATGCTCTAGAAATATATTTTTGGCCACAAAGCTCTATTTTCTTCATGGCAAAATAGTTAAGTGAATCACGCAACTTATTTACGGATTGATTTCTACATAACATGTCTTTATCAAAAAGAATCTAATATCTTTCTGCGTACTACTATTGTAAGTTCCTATTTTGTGAGCTCTACAAAAAGTATTTATTTTTTCTTATTTTGGTAGAATACACAAAAATTCTCTATACTATTACTGTATTATTCATTATTTCCATTAGCTCGTAGTGATCGATATTATGAGAACCATCAGTTTTAAGAACTTCAGATTTACTAGATTTAGCACAAACATATCATGATAACTTTATATCGTCCATTGATATTGAGTTTTGTGCGGTTTATTTATTCATATATTCCTAACGTCTTGAAATAACAAGATCTTATGCTATATATAGTCTTAGATGACGTATGAAATAAATATAAAATTATTTATAATTATAAGAAATCATGATATTGGATCATTTATATTACTCTTAATAGAAATTTGTGAGAAAGAAAATGTTAAAAATAAAAAAACACACACATATATATATTAGCCGGTGTTTTTGCAGTGGCGGAGCCACTATAGGAACATGGGTGGACAGCTGTCCCCCCATTTAAAAAAAAATTAAAAAAATTATTTTTGTAAGCATAAACAGCTTCAGTAAATAACAATATATATATATATATATTATATGTGCAACTAGTACCATAAAGGCTGAATATGGTCTGATGGTTGTTGGGCTTAGAATAGGGCTTGTTTCTTCCTTCATTACTAGGATCGAGCCTTCACAAATACATATTTTTATTTAATTTTAATTCCTTTTTCCTCTTTTGAGATTTTTTTTATTTCATTTTATAGTTTATACAAAGTGCTCCCATTTAACTTCTTTTTCTTGATTTTGGATTTTTCCCTTTTATTTACTTGTATTTGGATTTCGTTATATAGTGTATAATATATACTTCGTATATTTAAAGTACAATATTATAAATCTTCAAACCTCTAACTACTCTTATTTAGCTATTTAATCAAGTACCGGCGTACTGCCTCGTTGATAATGATTACTAATGTGTTATTCGACTATATATGATCTTTTGATGAATACATATTTCCGTAATTTTTTCATTTCTTTAATTATGTGCGCTTAAATTTTATTTTTTTTTTAATTGTTTGGAACTAATTTTACTTTATAGATTACATTGTAATAATTTCAATAGTCAAACAAAGTTGTGTTTATTTAACTTCTTTTTCTTGATTTTGGATTTTTCCCTTTTATTTACTTGTATTTGGATTTCGTTATATAGTGTATAATATATACTTCGTATATTTAAAGTACAGTATTATAAATCTTCAAACCTCTAACTACTCTTATTTAGCTATTTAATCAAGTACCGGCGTACTGCCTCGTTGATAATGATTACTAATGTGTTATTCGACTATATATGATCTTTTGATGAATACATATTTCCGTAATTTTTTCATTTCTTTAATTATGTGCGCTTAAATTCTATTTTTTTTAATTGTTTGGAACTAATTTTACTTTATAGATTACATTGTAATAACTTCAATAGTCAAACAAAGTTGTGTTTATTTTTTTTGAATGTAACCCAAATCTCTTTATATCTATTATCAATTTATTTAAATGCTTGTTATTTGATTAATCATATTTATTACATAACTTAAAATTGGGGTTTACCAACAAAAAATTATTTTTTTGGTTGATAATTTTCTTAATATATATATGCAATGAATCTTTTAACCACTCCTCTTTTGTCATATAAAAATATTTGTCATATTTCATATACGATTTTAATTACATATTAAGCAATTATGTTATCAAAAAAATTTGTCGATTTATTAAACATTTGAAATTTGTCCCCCCGGATTACAAATCCTGGCTCCGCCACTATGTTTTTGTCATGTTCTCAATGATAAATAGTGGATTTAAATTATTACACAAATACAAATGGCGGATGTAGAATATTTAAGGTTGAGGGGCACTAAATAAATAAAATGCTTATATAAAGACTTGAACCCAAGACTTGTAACACAAATTCAATGAATTACCACTAGGACAAAGATAATTTGAAGGTATTTATCACATTAAAATTGTATTTAACCTACTTTAATTTGAAGTATAAATTTATACCTTTAATTTAATAAATTAAAAAAAATGGCGGGTTGGTGCCACCCAGGTTCCTTAATAGCTCCGCCACTGAATACAATTTGGAGTAATTGCAAATTATTGCAAATTGAGATACACACGTGAAGATAAAGTGAAGAGAAAATAAGATTCGTATCATACAAGTCCGTGGTATATGTAAAAAAAAGATGACGTAGAGATTATGTATGAGATCTGACTAGGGAGTAGGGACCGAATAAATTTTGAAAACATGATCTGCCGACGTTTAACTTTATAAGAAAAAACAATATTTGTAAAATAATGTGTTGGACGTAGACATAGATTTCAAAATCAAAAGATTCAAACCTCAAAACTTTAATTTAATTCGATGAAAACCTCAAAAACATTACATTGTTTTATTGATCAATTGGACTTACTATACAAGAAATCAATTAAATGAAGCATGAGGAAATGATTTAATGGAGTATATTAAATTAATTAAATTATAAGAATAAAAAGATGAACCTTCTATCCAAAAATTTAGAATATTTAACAGTAAGAAGATCATAAATTTTGATTGGATTAAAAGGAAAGAAAAAAAATACTACAATATCATAGTCACAAGTCACAACCTTAAGTGGAACAAGACCAGGCACCAAATCGAAGACGGTGGATCTTGATGCTCCTTAAATAGCATCTAACTGGTCCACACATGCATCAATTTAATTACCAACCTCCATTATTTGCTTTTATTTCATTTCATTTCATGGAAGAAATTTGAATTATAAAGCTCTTTTAATTTAATTCTCACTTTATTTATTTATTTTTCAAAAAAAAAATCTTTAGGGTTGGAGGGTAGGGGACACATAAAACCTTCCCCCCAAAGAGTCAAAGATATTGTTGAATCATCGTCAAAAAAAGAGAACCTATTAATGCAACGAAAAGAAGAAAATTTTAATTTCTAAGAAAAATCATTATCTCATTTTTTTTCATATTTGTCCAAGCCTCGAACTGAAATCTTAGAATCGGAGAATTAATACATACATACTACTATTAAATTTAATCGTAGTAATATGTATGTAAAACTAAATTCTTCTCCTTTACAAAGGATTTCGCAAAATTTATTGAACTACAACATGATAAGATACCTCGATGAGATGGCCTAATAAATTAAAAATTCTAAAAATGGCAATAAATTAAAGTGATCACGTAGTTGATAGGTTGGAATGAAATTACAACTAATTTGAAAAGAGGGCTTAAATTGCAATGGATAGTAATAAGCTAATTAAGGATTATGTAAATGGTGGAATTAAGTGATTAGTGATGTTGGAAAATGGTGATTATTGAAAGGTGATGAGTTTAGGAGGTAGCAATGCAAGGAGGCTTCCAGAACAAGAGTGACCTCTTGGGTTCTTTACAGCCTCTAAGCATCAAGGGAACAAGATACTCCGCCTTTTCGGCCGCTGTTGCTCCTCCTCCTTCTCCTCCTCTACCTGTAGCAGCAGCTTTCAGTAGTACCACCTCTTGTTGTGCTAATGCTTCTCCCTTTCTATTATGGGCGGCATAAAGCAACTTGTTGTTATTCCTTTTGGTATCATCCTTTTCCACTTGCGGGGCACAATTTTTGTTATTATTCTTGTGCCCTACAAGTGGATTGAGCATAGCCACTGCTGCTGCCGCGGGGCTATTGCTCCGTCGCCAGTAGTACTCGTAGGCATTTAGGGCGACTGCAGCAGCAGTGGCTGTGCTCGCGCTCACCCTTGGTTGAGGTGGCAGTGATGATCGCGTCACTGCCAACTCATCCACCTCTTCATCCTCTATCTCTTCCTCATTGTCGTCAAGAGTTTTGATGACTGTTTTGTTGTATTTGCGAGGCCATGTGGAGTTGTTCCGTGTATTTGTTAACTCCATGAGCTTACTCATTGTAAATGCCGTGCATGACCTTTGTACATTCATCACCCCTCTCGGTATAGCCAACACCTCTTCACCTCCTACTTCTTCTTCTTCCTCCTCCTCGTCTACCTCTTCATCGTGATCATAATTCTCTACGATAGCAGCCTCGAGTATCTCCTCACTTTGTTCCAGTTCATGCTCATCAGTAGTAGTAGTAGTACTGGTACTGAGAGTTAGAAGCAAGCGCCCGTCTTGTCGTTGCGCACGGAAGCAGTTCTGAGAAGGAACTGCGACAGCTTCAACGACAAGGCGGCCGTCTTGGCGGTGGGACCGTATGTGGAGGTTGGACCCATCGTCTCGGTGAGCCAATGAAGGGAGAGGAGGAGGGAATGACGGCCTTACAAGAGGGACCATCATTGACCTCTTTACAGCGGGACCCCTCAAGCTGCTGTTGTTGTTGTTGTTGCACTTGTAATTATAATTACCCACTTCTACAATAACATTTCCTTTCTCCTCTACCTCTTCTTGCTCTTTCTCCTTCTCCTTCTCCTGCTCTTCCTCCACCTGCTCGTGCTCGTCCTCGGGGTCCGAAGGCGGGTAGGAGAACCCATCAGACCCGGTCTCTGACCCGAGACTCTCAGTACAAATCTCAAGGCTCTTCTCACTAAGGGAGCTCGAACGCTTCGCCAAAGGGTGAACATACGGCGCAGGAAGCTGACCCGGCTCAGACCCGGACTTAGACCCAGACCCAGACCCATCAGTCTTTCCAGGAGAAAGAATAGAACCCCAACTCTTCTTGTCAGCTTGAATAGAACTCCAGATTTCCTCAAATGCCTGACCACCCACGTTGTTGTTGTTGTCATGATCATAATTATTATCATCAGCAATGTTGTTGTGATGATGCTCGCCTAAGGCGAGCGAGGAATGAACCCTCTTGAAAGAAGAAGGGGAAGAATGAGGAGTGATCCATTTTTGTGGCGACGACATGTCAGCAGCAGAGAGAGTTCTCCGAATAGAATTGTTGTTGAAAGAAGAAGAAGAGTTGTTAAAATCAGAGCTAAGTAAAGAAACAATGCCCTGTTTTGATCGTATGAAAGAATCATCTTCATTCATGATCATTTTATAAGGGGTTTGAAGGCAGCTGGCGTTGTCAAACCACCCTGCTGACATCTCTCTCTTCTTTCTGCAACTACTTAAGATGCAGAGAAATATAGAGAGATGTTCGATTTTCTTTTACTTTTTTTTTTGTTTGAATTTGGACAATTTTTCTGAATTCCTGCAACACAAAAACAGATTCTTTTATTAGAGATAGGAAGATGAATAAAAATTAAAAACTTGGGAAAACAAGCATTAAAGAGAGCCAACTGTAAGAAGAAGTAAGTAACAAAAAAGTATCAAGTTACAAAGCATTCTGAAAAACATGCAAGTGGGATAGAGATATAATTGGGACATGGGTGTTAATCATAGGGCAGTCAAATTTTTCTTACCTTTTATTTTACTTCGATCATAAACAACCAACAACAACAATAAACCTCTGTTTTTATTTTCTCTCTTTTTCTAATAATACAGAGTACTCTGTTTTTTTTTTTTTTTTTTTTTTTTTTTTTTTTTTGTTGTTGTTGAGTTTTGTGGGGTTTTAATTTTTTGAAACTTGGTTAATGTGTGTGAGAACTATGAGGGGGAGGAGGTATTTGTAGTGCCAGTAAAGTATGAAATTGGGTCCCACATAACGCAACAATTTTAAAAGTTGTACCTTTTTTTTTCTTTTCTCATTTAACTAAGAAGTTGCTCCTTAATTGAATTTTTATAATCACTAATTCCTTTATTCTATTAGTAGAAGTAGTATTATGGTAAATTTTAACAAACCATTTCTACTAATGTAGATTCCCTTTTCCCCTTTATTTGGTTTTTTTTAGGGGATTAAGTGTGGATTTTGAGAGGATAAACAATTTAAGAATATACTAGGTTCCCTTGTTTAATTTTTAATCAACCCCTACCACTCTAATCAATTGATGTTAGGAACATTTAGGTCGGTCGCCCTATATTATTCTTCTTTCATTTAGATAATTATTCTATGTTGTGAGAGTTTCAGCTTGAAGTTAAAGAATAGGAAAAGTCATTTAAAGTTAGAATTGATAAGTGTGGTAACTACTTGTATTGACAATTATGAAAAATTTGCAATTGATCTCAAATTGGAAGTTACATTTTAGAAAACTTTTCCTTTTGAAGGGATTATATATATGATTTATACTTTGCATTTCTCTATTTTGACTCTAATATTCGTAAGATCAGTCACGGATATTCAGATAACACATACTCTGTATATCCATCACTCTTTTAAAATTATATACGTAGTAGAAAATGGTTACACTAGACTTTAGCTAGCTGTCCTAAATAGGAATTATTTGTAAATATATGTACAGTAAAACTGTAAAAATCTTGGCATATAAAAACAGAAACAATGCTTTGTAAGTAACAATAAGGAAGGAGTCTAAGAGAAAGAGGGTACTAATAATGTGGCCAATCCAAGATTAGATTGGAAAATAATTAATTAATAAAATAATTAACCCCTAATACGAGAGGTGAGAGTGCGAGAAGTCCAGCTATGAAATTGTCAGATAGCATATTAATACAAACACAACCGTACGGGAAGTAAATAGGAAACTATATCCTTATTCTGAGTAGCTTCCATAAGTGTGAATGCATTGTCATAACTCGTAACTCCCCCTCTCTTCTCCCCGGTGTCTCTCTCAACATACTCATTTTTTTTCTTTTTTTTTGGAATTTAATAACTCGTGGCTAGCTATATATGTTATTTTCATTTCATATAACACTACAAAGTACTATAATAAATAAGGATCGGAGTGCTATAATCAGTGGCGGAGCTAGAAATATTTATTAGGGGACCAAACTCTATATAATGTGTATGTATTTATATCTCATGAACATATAATAGTTTTGAAAGGTCGAGATAGAGTGAGATCAAGTATTAAAAACTAAAAAATAAAAGTAAAAAGGAGTTAAAAATTAAACAACATAGTGGAAAAAAATTGGAAAAGAGAAATAATTAATTTCCTCAAGTAAAGTTATATCCTACAATCTTACGAAGTGCTTAGAATTTTTTTTAGTAAATACTCTTTTAGTAAATACTCTTTTTATACACTCTGTATGTTTTTATATGCGACAAGAATTATGATCAAAGTGAAACATATACGGAGTAAATAAATTAAAGTCAAATTATTACACTTAATCTAAAGCGTGGGACAGGTTTGAATCCTTGACCTCTTTGAAGAAATATTATTGTTTAACCATCTAGACAAATAGTCGATTATGATATAATGTTGCACACTAAATAATATTATACTATAAAAATATTGAATAACACTATTAAAAATTAGCAGTTGTACAACTACAAAAGTAGTATCCCAGGACAACACACCCGAACTACTATAGTTTAAAAGAAGTAGTATCCAACTATCCATAATTTGTTTGAAGTGGATTGGAAAATTGAATAAAAGGGTGTAATGACTGCGTACTTGGCATGAAAGCCAAGCTACATAGTTTGAGTATTTGTCATTTATCCGTCGTCCACGCTATTATCATTATAATTGCCTAGTGTTCTACTCCTGCTGCCCAATTAATAACCTTTTTTTACTTTACTCGATGTGTCATTTTATTTGTAATTTTGTATGTACAATATAAAAGTATAACATTACATAGTAGATTTTAAGTAAGGTTACTATAAAATATAAAATATATTCACTTTGCCATAAAATATAAAAGTATAACATTACATAGTAGATTTTAAGTAAGGTTACTATAATGATATTATTACTTTACTAGGCCATAATCAATATATACTTGCACCCTCAGTTTTCAATCTACAAGACTACAACTCATTGCTTAAGCTTGGTGTCTCACTGTCTCAAATTTTCATTTTTTAGTTAACATTCATACACCCATTACAATGTTGTACTACAAGAAAGTAGTGATTTTTAGCTTCTTTACGCAACATTTATCAATTGGTTGAATTCAGTAAAAAAAAAAAAAAAACTCATGATTGATTAGGACTACCGTCGCTAATATGGGTATACTCCTACGGAGTACTATTTAGTGTATTTACAGTAATAAATGATTTTGATCAATTTCACACTTTACAATGTATAGTGAAATTTAGATAAGTATTTTTTTTTTTTTTGAAAGAGAAATTTAGATGAGTTTTAGAATGCAATGTACTTAATTATTTAATTAAATCACACGCATTTTGTCTAGCTTCTAGAACTCTAATTGAGTAGATTTAGGTAAATAACAAAATTAGTACGGAGTACTATGATTTAGGTAATCTTTATAATGATAGTCGTATGGTCCATTTAATAGAGGCAAATGGCTTATTAAATTGTTTAGGCTTCTTTAATTTCTTATTGAGAAATAGTAAGTGCATGTTTATTGTATTTTGGATAACGGATCAATTAGGTGCAGCCTTTTTGATCACTATCATTAAAGAAAAAGGTTAGCTGTTCCATGGAAATGAGAAACATGTGGTTCGTCAATTAGGGATTTTTACTACTCCATAATCTACGATATATAGATAGATCGATCTTATGTGTGCAAAAGTTTTATGCAGAATTTTATTAGTCTTGTCTCGACATATACTTTGATTATTTCAAAATAATCTGCAGTAATTTATTTTTAAAATAACTATAAAAACTTAAAAAATATAAATGGTCAGATGTTGTGTATATTTAGAAACATAAATCTAGGTTATGATGTGTATGTAAGCTAAAAGAAAAACGAAGAGCTAGAGTTCAACGAACTTTATCCTACCTTACGTACCTGATGTATGTGACTTTATCCTACCTTAAGTACGTATATGTTTTGTCAAAAAAAAAAAAGTACGTAAATGTTACATGTATGTAAGCTAAAAGAAAAATAAAGTGAGTTCAACTTTATCCTACCTTACATACATGTATGTGATACTTCATTCTTCTCATGCATGGTAGTTTATCAATCCTGACTATATTAAGGGTCTGTTCTTTTGAGTTTTTGAACTAATAAAACATAACAGATTTTAGCAGGGGATGTGTTGGCAAAATAGATTGAGTTAATAGAACATAGCAGGGTTAATTTTAATAGAGCAAAACAGCTCAAAAGAACATGGTCTATATAACATATTTACCGAGTTAAAAGTGTGTTCACAAAATATGGAATATGATGAGATAATTGGATTCACATAGATAAAATTGAATTAATTAAAAAAAATACCAAAAATGGATAATCCGAAAGAGCATTACATGCAAATATAGTCGAGTTGAACAGGTGAAGACACGTATGCAAGATAGCTTTAATTTACAAATTCTCTCGTTTACGGATTTTGGAAAAGGAGGAGAAAAAGAAGGACTCTGATTGGCTGAAAATGGCTTAAGAAGAAAGCAAAAGAATCACTTTCAACGGGACAACATGATTGGGCGGCTTATATCCATGGACACATGACCTAACAAACAGAATCAAACCTTGCTAAATTCCCATAAATTTTATACTAATCCCTTAGCTTACTATTAGTATAGTACCAAATCTCTCATGTCATACTAAAGATTAAATTTATAAAGCACTACACAATATATGCAAATGGAATAACCCTAGCTAGCAGGGAATTTAAAGGGAATATTTCTACTTTTTTTTGTCCCAAAATATTTATATCAATTCAAAGTAGATGTTATGTTGATATATATTATAATTGTACTTGTATATATAATACATAGTAATATGACATTCAAACTGAGACGGACCACTAGAAGTATATGTGTCAAAATCATTTATGTATATGTAAAATTGAGATATTTGAAGGCTTTTAATTAGTTTGTTTTTCATTTCTAATTTAGCTAGGTTAATAAGCGCCGGAGTAGACAAAAAATTAAAATTCATGTGGGCTTTCAATTATTTTAAAAAATACAAAAACTATAATAAATTTGCATGTAACTCCCACACAAGTAAACTTAATTAAAGAAAAGTAACATGCAAATAGTTTTATTTTTGTTTTTGTAGTCCTGAAATTTTACTAATTTTTAATTTTTAAACCTTACACGAGCATTTAATATTTTAGACTAATTATATGTTTAATATGTTACATAAACTCTATATGGCAAACATTTTCAATTGTTTTCTAATTTATTTTGTCCTTCTCTCAAACGAAAAAAAGTAATGTGTAGGGTAGTGTTACGTATAGTTTGCCTATGTCGTCCACTCATACAAAAAGATGATGATGTTGATCTCTTTCATCCATTTGAAAGCACATTTAAAGGCATTCACAAATTTTACGAAAGAACAATAAAGGAGCTACATATAACGTAAACCAAATCTGTTGATTTATTTGGTCTGACCAAATTATAAATCGCAGGAAGGTAAGAAGGTTGATGGAAATTTCATGCTAAAATAATATTATATTCTTGTCTCTCTAATTTCAACGTAAAGATGAAATCTCTGCTTAGACGCAAGCTACATAATTGTCCTTGTCCATGCATCGTCGTAGATTATTTATTGGAATATAATTAGGGTTATAAGAACATTTGAACCTTTAATAATAATAACAATAACAATAACAATAATA